CCAGAAAACTAGAGGAGAGAAGAGTGGAGTGGTCATGATGTTTTCTCAAAGCTGTCTGGTCCATAAGGACGAGGCTGTCTGAGCTCTGCTGGTGGAGAAATAAAAATAGCTGTGTAATAAAGTGCTGAAGGATGTTATTCAAACATGCATGCTAATGTAATATTTATACACGTCAAGTTAGCTAAATACCATTCAGCTAACTTGACACTGAGTATTAGTACTGCATCACAGTACTAATGCTTTATGGCTGTCAGATTAATATCACCATTATTAGCACAACCTCCAGTGCTAGAGCTCATCTAACTGACCTTATCTAAGACTGTCCCATTATTTTATTTTCTGTTTGTTATTTTTACTATTTAAAGAGCCATACCATAGCCAAACCATAACCCTGACTATACTAGAAACAATATTTGAATGTGCCGTGACATTTGTTTTTCAGGGAAACCATCTGCAGAATATACCAATTAGCTGGGGAACAGCTATAATTAAAAGCAACAGTATCCTTGCGTTTGAAAGATGAGTTCCTCCTCGTAGTTAGAGGACTTTGTTGACTGCATCCACCTGTTATAAATAGTGTGAGAGGGAAGTAAGAGCATGGGCCTTTTCCTCCACTGACCTAGCAGCTGTGCTTTTTGTTTTAACCAGAGGCCACGTCTTATTATTCTATTTGACATCAAAGCAGTTGTTTTGTTTCCCAGGTTTTCCATGAACTCCATCTCTGTCATTAACTCAGAATTTCCTTTTAAAATAAAGTTGGATCTTTTGCACTAAACTAAAGGATCACATCAATATAAAGAGCTGCCTCTCTTTAGCATTTATCCTTTGCTGAGAGAATCCAAAGTCCACTTATTTTATTCGTCTCAAAGCTGGACCATGATCCTGTGGTTCTACAGTGAACTATTGTTTTGTTGCCAAGCCAGATACTATAAGTGTAAGTTCTCAGTTTGACCACGCTGAAGCAGCCTGGCACACAGTGGAGGAACTCAACAGTAACACAAACAGAGCGAGTACCAGGTTCAGCTTATCATAAACAGTTACCTTCAACTTTCCGGTCCTTAACAAAGCCATGTAGGCGATGCATGTCGGAGCCACACAACATAGTTGGTTGTTTCGTCCAAAGCTCAAATGTCATCTAAGTGGCGAACTGTTGGACCGGAGGTGAAAAAACTTGGTCATATGAGAGCATTTGTTCTTAAGTAGTCTGTATTAATAGCTCTGTTTGGGGAGTGCTGGTCTTTGTGTTATGCATGGATTTACATGAGGTTCCCAGTGATTTGAGCATGATTTGGGAGCTGGTCATGAATCTGGATAAGCAGAAATGACAGTTAATGTTTGGTGGTACATACACTATACATGCTGTATTGTGATTAGAATATGACCAGACCACACCTGGAGGAGGTTTGTCTTGTGTTGTGAGGTGATCCTGGGCAGGTAAACATGTCCGGCTGGTTGCTGTTCCTCCATGGTGTTTTTTTATACTTGATTATTTGATGTTCATATTTTCTGTGAATTTAACAACCACCAATAGCAGGGATAACAGGAATAGCAGATGTATGGTTGATTACTTAACACAAGGTTTACTCTTTTGATTAAAAAAACAAATGAGGCTATGTGTCTCTCTCCTTTAATCATTGTTATTTCAGTGGCTCTTTTTAAACCCTGCTGGTTTAACCACATGCTCTTACTTGCCTGAAAGAAAGAATAAAGTATCTGCCGATCAGCAAACATAATAATAATCTCACTGGCATGTTTTACTGAGACTGGTTAAAACATTTTATCTTTCCAGATCAAAAAGTACGAGTTGTCAAACCAGTCTTCCTCGGGTTCCAGGGTTACAGTAAAGTAGGTCATTAAAAGGATGCTGGGAATCTGTCATTAACTAGAAAGAAAACATTATGAAGCTGAAATGATTCATAGCATGGCCGTAGGTTTGCATATGGACGGTAGGGACATGTCCCTACCAATATTTGAGGGAAGTTGTTTGCAGTGAAGAAGTCATAAGATGAAGCCAATGTGCCCTCCCAGACACTAGGTCCCCAGGATGACTGATTTAGCATGGGCGAGAATTCAGTATTTCAGACGACTGCCTTTCCTCTATTGTCTGAACTGCAGCACATATAACTGAATGTTGTCCATGCCAACACTTTGTGTCCAACATGCCACCAACACTAACATCACCAGCCTTTTATCACTGGTGCATCACCGGATTAAAATAATTATTTTACTGTTGTATCTGGTCAAGGTGGAGCTGGTTTTACATGTGAAAGGGATCTGCAACAGTGGGAAGCCTACTGAATATAACATTTTTCATGTTGGATGAAAAATTCAAAAATATGGTTTATTCTTTTTTTCTTTTCTGTTAGTAATTTCCTAAAGTTTACTTTCTTTCCATCTTTGAACTGTTGCTGTGTTTAAATTCTATTTAAATTCTAAATACGGATTTTCCAAGTTTATAAACCATTGGGTTGACAGCATTAAAAAAGCTTCTTTGTTTAGTCTTCAATCTGCCTTTGATTGAATTGTTAGACATTTTGGCAAATATGCTTATTTGCTCTCTTGTTGATAGTAAAATGAGACAATTGATACCACTACAGGCAGCATTTGGTTAGCTTAGCTTAGCACAAAGACTGGAAACAAGGGGAAACAGCTAGCCTGGCTCAGTCCTGGCTCAGGCAATGAAATCTGTCTACCACCACCTCTTAAGCTCATTGCCTAAGACATCATATCCCGTTTCTTGAATCTATACTAAAACCATGGCACAGATCCAGGATAGCAGCTTTCCTTGTATCCTGTCTAAGCTAAGCTAACCAGCTGCTGGCTGTAACTTCATACTGATCATACAGTCACAGGAGTAGAATCGGTCCTGTCATCTCAGTCTGCAAGAGAGGGAAAATGAAAATATTCCCCAAAATGTTGAATTATTCTTTTAAGCTGGAAGTCAGCAAATTTAACCTCATTCACTTCTCCCTGTTGTGCTGGAGAACAGAGCTGCAACACTGAGGCACCATCACTGATCTGCTGTTGACTGCTGCTCTGTGTGTTTGCAGAAGTAAACAGAAGCACCCGTTGTGAGAGCAGGAACTCTCAGTAAGTTATTTTACTTGTGGTCGAAGGTGTCGCCACAGACGTAACATAAAGGTTTTGCCTTGGACCATGTGCCTTCATAGTGAGGATTTAACACCAGCTTCTGAAATGTGGTGTATGGACTGCTCTGGTGTGAACCACAGTTTATATTTATATCTGGACTGCCAAAGCAAAACTCAATTCTCAAAATAGAAGTAAAATAAAACATGGTATATATAGGAGCTGCTACTCTCCTGGGGTTTGCAGTAAAAAAAACCCAACTCCTCTCCCTAACGTGCTGTCTCACACCACTGCAGTGCTGATGGTACATTTCTACTGTGTCGATTTTTAAACAAGCCTATAGCCATGCTCGCAGCTCTGTGAGGCTGTTCTTTGGCACAGTGGTGCTTTGAATGCTAACCTCAGCAGGCTAACGTGCTCACAGTGACAATGGTAACACGTTGACACTCATCAGGTATAATTTTTTACCATGTTCTCCATCTTAGTTTCGCATCTCTCTGTGCATCTGTGTAGTTTGAGCTCCTCTTTGAATGGTATATTGAAGGCCATTGCATAAAGCCACACAACCAGATGAAACAGAATCTCAGTTATATTGATGACATTTTCAACACTGGGATCATTTTACTTAAAAATAAAATAGAATTACCACATTGTGTTTGTACGCCTCCACCAACCAGTCAAGTTGCAGTTTACATCCATGTCTGTCCAGACTCATAGGCGTAACTACTTCCATGTAGTGACAACTTTGAATTAAATCAATAAACGCGTATTTTTTTTGACAAAATGAAAGTTATCACTATTTGACATGTATGAATTAAGTGAGAAACTCAGTCATTACCTCATCATTTTATCGTATTTAGACTTTTGTGCTATAATTAGCGTATAAACGTGTTCAGTGAGGTCACAGTGATCTTTGACCTTTGACTGTTGACTACTAAATTTGAATCAGTTCATCATGAAGACCCAGTGAACGTTTGTGCCAAATTTGAAGAAACTCCCCCAAGGCATTACTGAGATATTGTGTTCATGAGAATGTGAACAACATGCGGAAGAATAACCCAAAAACTAGTCAAATAAAATTAACCCTTCAACCCAGAATGTGCGTTATGAGCTGTACATCTCCTGGGAGAAGCTCAGCCTGATGGCTTTGAATGGTTGGACAAGGGCCAAAAAAGTGAACTATTTCCAGACAATACTATTAAACCAACAACAAAGTTTTATTAATAGGACGATAAAGTAAAACTTCCTCTAAATTGTCATATGGGACCAGTATCTGACTACACACAGTTTAAAGCTCATCATTTACCTCACTGTTTTTTATTCTGTTCGGCTATTGGATTCATATTATCCGAGCAGCTTGCCAAACATTTAATATTCTCTAAATGTTTGAAAAATCTGTCGTATATATGCAGACTGGGAAAACTTGAAATGTGAGTAAAATATTTCCTGGTAAGTTCATGACTGACTGACAAGACTCAAACATTTGGTTTCAGCTTTTATTCTGAGAGAACATCACCCCATGGGGATTGACATTAATTGATTACAAAGTAGGACCTTACCAAGTGGCAAGAGAGAACAGCCTTCATGAAAGTTCAGTATACAAACAACGCAGTTAATGAAAATCAACATGCATAATAGTATAAAACCAAACACATATTAGGGGAAAATACAATGTAGAACTCACTACTTACTTTATATTATAAGACTAACAACTGTCCAGTATTTCATAAATGTTGTTTGACTAAACCAAACATGGAAAATAAAATATTTCTGCTCAAAAAGTAATGAAATGGACAGATGACAATATACTTATGCTCCATTATTAAGGCGTTGCTATCTTTCTCTATATTGTGGACAGCTTACTGACAACAAGTTTTTCTTCCATGGAATCATGACATTATCTGAGCTTTTTGTTTTTTTGGGCAGGAGTGCTCATTCCAATTGGCCATTGCTTTAGCTCATAGGCATGTAACATGTTTTTCCTGTAATATGTGTGCAACACACGTTTGTTCAGGATCACCGCTGACACAAATGGATTTAAACGTGTGGAGGTGAAAATACACCGGATGCGCTGCAAAGTTGAAGTTGAATTTATTTGACTTTAAAACGTTGCTAACTTGAGATAAAATACATTTGTGTTTTTTCTTCTAGTCAATGCATAGCAAATAACTCTGATAAAAAATAAAGTGTAAATATACAAATCATGATCAGACTGTACAGTACAAGAGTATAATACAGGTAGAAATCACAATCATACATATAAAAAGATACATGCATTGCGTCCTGCATGCGTCCTTTTTTGAGAGAGTTTGTTCTGCGTGCGATCATTCTTTGGACAATGACATTCATACAATATGCTTAGGATAGAAATCAGAATTAGAGGTTAAAATTTTGAATACCTAAAGCCAACATTACCACTCCATGAGGTATTTAAACAGTGACTAGAGTATACACCCATTTTACAATGTGCAGCAAATAACCATTGACAGCGGAGTGAAACCAGGTTCCAGTGATATTAAAAGGCAACAGTATGATAGAGGAACTATTTTTGACCGTCACTCATTAGCAAGAATCTCTTTGCACAACAAACTACTATAGAGGCTCAGTACAACAGAACATATATTACAAACCACAAGGGTCAATTGAACAGTCTGTTCTTTAATAAATTCTAATCATAAAACAGAGCAAAATTTGTTGTGAAACTTTAATGTAAATGATCAGAAACTTAGCTGCAAACTTTTTCACCACATAAAGGAAAAAATGATCCCACTGTAAACTAAAGCATTGCATACAATATATAAGAAGAAAAAACAACAACTTTACTGTACAAAAAAAGAAAAATCACTGACAAAATGAAAGGCTCACACTGATAGATGGTGAGGACAAACGAGGGTGAGGAATGGGTGAGGAGGAGGAAAATGAGGGAGATGTCTGGCGCTCTTTCTCTAGGTGCAGTCGCAACTGCCACATTCAGTTATCTATCATGTGAGTAAAATGCAGATGAGGGGAATGGGCTTACAGTAACTGTGGCATGCTGGGAGATTGAGTTCTTCAGTTTTGTCTCTCCCTGCCGCTATTTACAACATAATGGGTAAAATGAAATAGTCCTTAAAGCAAAAAAAACCCAAAAAACTGAACATTTAAAAGCCTGAAATAGTGTTTGTGTCACTACTGTCCAAGTGTTTTTGGTTGCCGTTTGTGATTTTTCATTATTGCTTGCACAACAAAGCCAGCGTTGCACTGCAACCCAACTCAGAGCAGCCCGACAGGGTGGGACACTTTAGTCATCAGTACCTGGGTGGTTTCAAACGAAGTCACAGTGTAGTGAAAAAAAAAATCTTAAACTTGCTGGTGTTGACTGAGCAGTATTTGACAGATGGAGGTAAAAGTTTCACTGTGAATGTAACTATAACTCTTCACATATTGGACATGTTCACATAACTCTGATTACCGTTTCATTCAGATTCATTTTTGCACAATTTGAGAACCACTGTCGGGAGTGTGGACTGTTGCTAGAGGAAATTGTGATGAAACTGGAGAAAGAAAAAGAGAAATCAGATCACATTCAAATAAAGTGTTAAATAATAAAACATCAGTCACAAATGCGCAGGGTGCAGAGTTTTGGCTCATTCTTTGTTCTTTGGGTAGCATGTCTTTGTTCTGGATTAAATGGAGCCCTGGCATGCTTGTTGAGTCATTTGCAGACGTTCACACTGAAAGAGAAGCTAAGCACACTTGCAGTGCAGTGCTTCGCCGTGAAATGCATTTCCTGCCGGCCGGGCTGATTAATGATTATTAAATAAAAGGATCAAGCAGGTGGCTTGCTGCATTGCTGTTTTCTGAGAGGGTGTGTGACACAGTCTGATGCGCTCTTTCTTACGAAAGAAAAATCTGAAAAATAGACAGATTTTGTTTACGTGGATTGTAAACTATTTTTAATCATCGTTATGCTGGACAGATTGTTCCTTTGGGATGAAGTCCATTTCTCCTGCGAGTGTCTTTTTGACATAAAGTGTTGCCACAGTGCGGTAGTCTTTAGGACCGGTCTGGTCTCCGGTCTGTCAAGAAGGAGCCCTCCACTGTTTTGCGTGGTGTCCTAATTTGTAAAAGTGTGGTCGTGAAAATATATTTATATAAATCTGTACAAATGTACAAGTGCAATCTTTATTGGAGAATATCTAATGAGTAGGAGGCACAGTATCATTATGAAGATTTAACTTTAAACCTTTTCTTCTTTAAATGGAAATGAATTTAAATGGCTTGACGTTTGGACTTGCCACTGGGTTCTTTGTGTGGACTGCTTCTATTACAGTGATGTATGACAATATATAAATATATGAATTATATAATAATACAATTAATATATATTATAATTAATATATTAATTAAGGGCCTGTATGCTATGCTGGTGAATGGCTAGTTTTTACTAAGGTAACCTAGCCAGGGAGTCTATTTTGACTGTATTCTGTGTCAGGAACAATGAGACAACTGATGAAGTAGGGTACCGGAGAGCCCAGATCGCACTCTGCTGACCTAAGTGTCATCACCACAAAAAAAAAATCACAATGATACTGTACAGAATCTGTATTTACTGCCCCGCCTTTGCCGTTGTTCCCCCTCTGTGAACTCTTACTTGGCGGACAAACAAACATGTCCGCCTCCAGCCAGTGCCCATCTTCTCTCCCTCTCTGTGAGCCTCCTCAGCAGCTGGTGGTGTCCAGTAGTTGCTTGGCTGCAGAGGCTTCTTCGTTTTCAGAGTTGGTCCTCTTCTCCTCTGTGGCTCTGGCTGTCGGTTTCTGCTTGCGTTTGATCTTAAACACGTCCCACTTCTCAGACAGCAGGTCCTTGTTGAAAATGATGGATGCCAACCAGGAGAAGAGCAGAATGGACACGAGTGAGATGATCATGATGGCAGTGCGGAAGGGGAAGAACTGGGTTAGCCTCCCCTCTGCGTCAAGTCGGCAGCCAGGGAAATGGATGGCGGGTGGCAGGCCGATGAGGGGCTCGCCACTCAGGATCCTCAGGATGATTCCCATCAAGTAACCCACGGTGGCGCCGTAACCATTAGACACCTTGAAGAAGAGGATGCAGACCAGCTGAGGGAACATGATGGTGTAGGACATGTCCACGCCCACGAGCCAGAAGACCAGGACACTGCTGTCCAGAAAGGTGAGGGCAGTGCCAGCCAGACCCACCACCACCACTGAGATACGGATCACCCACTGCATCTCACGGTCTGATGCCTGATGGAGCGAGAAGAATGACAATAAGAAAGACAAAGAGATTTCAGTTTCACATTACACCTTGTTACACAGTCTAAAGGATCCAAGGATCGTCTAGACTTGAGGCCTCCTTGACCAACAGATCCCCTTACAAAGACACAGTGTCCATAAGTGACAGCACTGTAAGAGACCAGCAGTGAACGGGCCCATTACATGGGACCTTCCCTGGGGCTGAAATAATGAAACAGACCATTGTTTTATGAGAGTAAATATCACACACAAATCTCACTCAGCAGATAACACTCAGTGTGACACAGTGGGCACAGCGTACAGTATGTACAGTATTGTGGAGTCAATAGCCACTTTGTTGCCCCCCCCCGCTTGTGTAGGCGGTACACTATAATGATACAGTCTTTGGGTTGTAAATGAATGTCATTATAGGAATTACTTATTTTCAAAAGATTATTACTGTAAGTGGTACTCCAGCGATTTTGTATCAATTATTCAAGTCAGACTTAAGACCAGAGTCTGACTTCCTCTTTTAGCATATAAAAGTGTGTATATCATAGAAATGTACAGTTAAAATACATAATAAAAAACAACTTGCAGGGTTTACAAGAACTAGGTAAAAACCAAGGCTAGCCAGTGCTAAAACCTTAGCTTAAGCCAATTTTCCCATTACTCACTACTTGTTCCCCTTATAAGAAAAAAAAAATCTCTTTTGATGTTCCAGCGTCTTAATAATTGAATTTGTAACACCGCACACTGTAAATAAGGAAATAGTTGAATCATAATGAAGAATCAAGGCTAAGAGTCTGCATCCATGTTAGCATTACTGTCAGGCTGTACTTTGAGCTAAATGCTAAAATCAGCAGATTAACATGCGCACAATGACAATGCTAACATGCTGGTATTAAGGTGGTGAAATGTTTAAAGCATGTTAGTTTAGCATGCTAACAGAGCTAATTAGCGATAAGCATAAAGTTAAGTTGAGGCCAATGGGAATGTCATTAGTTTTGCAGGTATTTGATCACAGATCAAACCAAAGTACTGGGCAAATTTTAATTTTGACCTCATGGTGGCACAAGATGGAAAGTCAGGTTAATTAGGATGCACGGTCTGAGAACAATGAACGCTGGTGCAAGATTTTGTGCCAATCTGTCTAGTTGAGGTTGAGATATTTCACAAAATAAGAGAACCATGACTTGCTTTTGGCACTAGAAGAAAGTTTAGAGGATCAACAAAGTCATTAGGATTCATCAATGGGGCACCATGAATATCTGGGCCACATCTCAAAGCAATCCATCCAACAGCTGTGCACTTATTTCAGTAAATGACAAGGAAAAGTCAGGGGATCATCAAGGTGAGCGAGATTTATCCTCTGGGGATCATGAATGTTTGCACAAAATATCAATCCATCCAGGAGTTGTTGAGATATTTCAGTCTGGGGTGGGTTGACCGAGGGACAGACTAACATTATCATCACTGGAGCCACATCACTAGCATTGCTAAAAATAAGGCACCAGATAAACTAGTCCTTCTAAAAGGTAACAAGCCTAGCTCAGCAGAGTAACAGTACCTGCCTTCTCTACAGCCTGACGCCAGTGGAATTCACATAATTTTATTTGGTTGAACTACCTTTAAGTTACATATTCAAATTAATTCAATTATAGAACAAGAACACATTTTAGTTGTAGATTCTTGTTTTCCACGTTTCCTTCAGATTTGGTTAAGAACCATTATTATCTTTCTCCAAAACTCTCACCTGCTTCCTGATGATGTTCTTGTAAATATTTGAGGAAAACAGTGAAGCGGAGGACAGAAGAGCCGAGTCCATGGAGGACATGACAGCCGCAGCTACAGCTCCGATACCGATGACGGAGATGTACGTGGGTGTGAGGTACTGCAGGGTGATGGGGAGGATGGAGCCTGCCTGGTTACGCTCATATGGGGTGGGCAATCCATAGCTGGTTGAGTTCCAGTCTGGGAGGAAGCAAGGGTGAATATTTGGATTAAGACCAAAGGAAAGTTTGAAAGACTTTGAGGACAAATAAATGAATGAAGTGAGAAAGAGGGGTTTAACCTGATAAACAAATTCAGTGAAATGATGGGCAAAATGTATAAATTCTGATTGTTTCCTGAGCTTCTAAGCTTGTAAGTTAAGAGTGTGTACCTGTGGACGCAGCCACAGCTCCCACCAGCACAGAGGGGATACCCAGCACCAGGCAGAAGGCTGACGAGGCGAAGCAGGTCACTTGAGCCTGGGTGTAAGAGGAGGCGGACAGGATCCTTTGGTAGAACGCTTGGTAGGCCAAGCCGCCCAGCGCCTGGCACAAACACATGACAGGAATCAGTTGATATAGCAATACAGGACAAGAAAAATAATTCTCTCATGACTCTGCTGTTGTTATGCTTGGCTATTGGCTCATCTAATGAAATAAGATGATTTAATTTAACTGCTGGGTTGAATTTAATTTAACTGCTGTGAAGGCAGGAGTTATGTAAACACTGCATAAGCTATGTATCAGACATCATTGAGAGATGTCGGCCTCTCCCACTCCCTCACCAGCAGCATGAAGTCGTCAAACCACTTGCCGGCCTCATCGAGCTCCACCGTGCCGACCCAGGGAGCCTGGAAGGTCTGGTTGTAGGCCGTCAGTGAGATGTCCACTGAGTGAGGGTTGGTCAACAGGAAAGGAACACACACCCACTGTATACACAAACACAAGGACATAACTAATCTGATTATGGGTCCAGTGCGGGAAGTTTTCAGTTAAACACTGGTGATTAGGAATCTGAAACGAGAGCTGGAGTTAAAGCTCCAGTTTGTGAGCGGTTTGAAGCGCCTTTATTTCACATTTGTTAATCTTACGAAGTTCTCATTGGTCCATATTTATCAGTATTTAGTTGATAAAATAATCTCACCATCAGGTGTAATTAGTAGCTGTTCAGGAGCTTTTCAATCATATTGCATAATCTTTGTCAGATGATGCAGTTCGGCCAGTGCACAAAGAATTAAAACTCAACTTTTAAATCAACATGAAAAAGAAGTCTGCCAATGAAAGTCGTGTGATATGATCAAAAGCTCCAGAACAGCTATCAAATGGAACTTTAATATTTCAGGAGGGAGATTGCCAGCTTTTGTTTCTAAGGATAAGAATTCACTTCTAAATTTAATCTGTATTTAGACTAAATGACTGTTTGTACAACAGTCAGAGTGTTAGGTGTTAAGCAGCTGGCCCACTCACACAAACATTTGAAAAGTACTGAAAACACAGTGACAATGGGAGTAAACCCACATATACAACAGACACAGAGAGCTGCTGTGAATGACTGGCATGTTCCCAACTGGCTGCGGTGTTAGTGGTACAGTTGCCTTTTACCAGCCAGCCCCTGAGGGTAGTCCACATGCAACCACATATTTCACAACCAAATTATAGCAGCCATTTTGAACATGGAGTGAAACTTCAGACAAACTTTACAGTTCTCAAACAAGCTAATGAAATCAGTAATGCTTTAATTTAGCAGGTAATTCAATCAGCTGGCATAGTTAATAAGGTACCAGGTACCTCTGTTAAACTCTATATTGAAATTTCATCCCTCTAGTCTTTCATCCACTTGTTTGTATTATGAAGTTGTAGTGAATAATCTAATAGGGCTGATACTTGACTGATCATTCAGTGGCTGCCTTGTGAACGGGACAATAGATGTTACGCACCAGGCTGACAAAGATGAGGATGAGCTGGATCACGTCTGTGTAGGCCACAGAGTAGAGCCCCCCCAGCAGTGTGTAGATTATGGCCACCACTGAGGAGATGATGATGGAGTAGACGTAGGACAGATCCAGGATCACACTCATAGTTCCACCTGGAACAACACAGCAGAGCGATGAGAATCGGAGGACTGACGGAGGCTAAATGTCTCATTGCAAGTTTTCTAATGTACAGAAGCTGGTAGCAACAGATACATGCAACTACTTACTGTAATATTTTAACTGTTTTATTAGGTTCTGTCTTGCTTTTGCTTTTAAATCTTTTCTCTCTCACACAGACACACACATGTACATGCATCCACTCTTATGTACTTGTACTGTAGATTTAAAGGAGCTAGGCAATGACATTGTTTTGTTATACTGTTCATTTGCCTTAATGCAGTTTTTTTTCAAAGAACACTGACAAACAAATTACACTTTGACCAACAAAGAGCAAAACATTACATCTGTAGTCTTCTGTGTCAAGAATAAAGTTACACTTAAACATGGGTGGCATTGGTTTAAACGTTTAAAAAGTATCAAGGCCAAAACATAAAAATGATGATAAAATTATGACAAACAGAACCCTAGAGAAACATATAACAGAAGCAGCCTATTGATTGTGACTCCAACTTATTCCTTTTTCACCCTCTTGAATGAATTATCACCTTTTAAATAGTGACAAATTTTGATTAAGTAGAAAAAAATCAAGATGAAGGTGAGGAGAAGTGTTCTTCAAATGGAAAAACAAATGTGTAAAAAACTATATGTATAGCTGTAAGTAAAAAAAAAAGAAAAAAGAAAAAAAGACATCTTGTTACTCAAACAAGGCAAGCAAAACGTCACTACCTTCACCGTCTCTTCTGCCACATTGCCAGGGTCCCCCCAGCCGCAGCCTGCAGCCACACCACAACAATGCCCTTAAACAGAGAAGTGTCAGATCGGCACCATCGATCGCCACTCACCACCCTGCTGACCACCCCACTACGGAGCCCGCCACCCCCTAAACCACCCCATCGTCTTGACGATGCATACTTGACCCTTCACCCCATGTGTTTGACATTTTTGAAATCTGATCTGTTACAATGATAGCTTTGTCGCCTAATGTATCCCATCTGCTTAATCATAAATAATCTTTTTGTATCTTTCTTCTACAACAGACTAACCTATCATGTCATTACCCTTAAAACAAGTAAATACTACAGTTATTAACCACCTGTTCATCCATTGAGCATGCACCTTGGGATTCAATCACTCAATCCTTACTGAGAGGTGTCAGCAACACGAATGTATACATGACCACAATGACAACGCACAGTGTTAACTTTACATAACAAATGTCTAAATGTCACCAAGGCAAGTTAATATAGCATATTTGTGTTTCCTCAGTCCTTTAATCACTTTTATTTTTTAACTTTCTCTTCCTGATTTTAAGTTTTTTCTGTGTTGCTCTGCTATGTTTTGTGTAGTGTTGTGGATCAGGGAAGTAAAATCTGACCACATGCGGCCAGTCGAGATGCTTTCTGATGCCATGTGTGAAGTGAAATCCATCTCAGCTGGGTCTACAGTGGGGTCCACTTTCCAGTGATCGCAGACTTTTGGACCCCTCTGTGTACCTGACGTGGATATGTGTGGATGCACATCCAGATCGAACAGGGACTTGGTGTTGTTGTTTTTTGTCCTGTAATTTATCTTATGGTGGGGCATGATGCAACCTGTACCATAAATAATTCCTGGGTGGTCTGATATAGCACTAGATCTGTTCTGTGCTGAGCTGTGCTGTTCCCCTCTGAACTAAATTTAGGAAGAGGAAAAGTGGAATGAGATTCAGGGGCCTCTGGGGCTTAATGGGCAGCACCAGGGATGGACAGAGGCAAAGAGCTGCCTAAATACCCCGTGTTGTTTTTAGCTCCTTGTCCCACTTTAAAAACTCTTGCATGTGTGCGCACACACACACACACACACACACACACACACACACACACACACACACACACACACACACACACACACACACACAAACACATCATATGCAACCTTTCTGTCCTGTTCCCTATTCCTTCCCGGCAGAAATTTGACCATGGCTCTGTGTTGATACTACATGGCACACTGACAGTGCACGTAAGGTATGTTTTAAAAGTTAAATCCTTTCTGGCACTGAACCATCACACACACACACACACGCACACACACACACACACACACACACTCGCCCAGGAAGACCATGAAGCTGAGTTTATGCAACACATACAGACACATCATACACACACATCATACACACACATAAACAGTCTCCCAGCAACAACACCCCTGTGGGTCAAATGCTCAGCGCTCTCTCTTGAGTGTCAAGTGTTTATGTGTGTTTGTGTGTGTGTGTGTGTGTGTGTGTGTGTGTGTGTGTGTGTGTGTGTGTGTGTGTGTGTGTGTGTGTGTGTGTGTGTGTGTGTGTGATGCCGAGCACACATCCGGCATGTATGCATAACTGTCCCAGAAACAACGACAAGAGGTTTTACTGAGGAGCGAGGGTTCCCCTGACTCTATATTGGTTTAATAGGTTTGGATAAAACCGTCCCAGGAACATTCCTGCCTCCCTATCAGTCCTTTTGTGGAGCTTCAGCACAGTGACTCAGACACTGTCAATAGATTTCACTGATTCCTTTCCCTGTGTGTAAAACTTCTTACACGCAGAAATGAAATTATAATGCAGCATGTAACATTGATCCCTATGAACCCATCAGAGCCTTGGCACAAACAATGGAAAGAAATTTCTAATAATAACACAACAGTCTAGTTTGAATAATTGATCACCTCTCACAATCAACAGGCTGCTCGATGTTTAACCCCTTTTTCAAATTACACTGGAAAAGAAAACAGCGTTAAAAACACACAGAAGAAAACATTATGTACACACATCCACGCACATTCACGCTGCAGAGCACATGCTCACTGGCACCTGCTATTAAAGCGCAACACACACACACACACACACACACACACACACACACACTCACACACACACACACACACACACACACACTTAAATCACTTACAGATTAGAGAAACAGTAAACAACAGTGCCAAATGTAGTAGCATGTATAGAACAGTACATGAGGATCACATCAGAAGAAGCCACTTAAATCATTTGTCCACACAACACAATAATAATCCATGTAATAATAGTAATAACAAGCCACTGAAGTAATTACTTATTGTTACGCCTGGCAAGAAAAAGCATCTGGCTGTAAAATGTGTGTGTGTGTGTGTGTGTGTGTGTGTGTGTGCGCACGTGCGTGCGTGCTTTTCTTCCTCGTGCTCGCTGCTGTAAAATACCAGCCCAGCACGGTACAGCTCTCTTTGTTCATGACGCATTGTAAAGTTTCTTTTATTAAGTTAATTGACTGGCTATGTTTCACTCTCTTACTGGGCTATACCTTTCCTCACACAGCGACTATACAGCTCACAATGTTAACAGTGGAAGATACCACCACAAATTCTCGGTAATTCTTTAAACAATGGGTCCTTGATTTGAGACTGAGGTAGATAAATACACACTTTACTTTTATAGCTGGCAACTCTTGATTTTGAAATTACAAATGATGAACTAACTGATCTGTTAAGTGAATACAATGCTTTTTCTGGTAACATGGCTGAGGTGAGTCCAGACTTCAGATCCAATAAAGAGCAGGACAGAGCTGTTATTCTAAGCTAAAGTAGTTAGTTGGCTTGGCTTTAGATTTGATAAGTTACCAGTGTAGGTGGTATGCTAGTTAGCTGGATATGCTACTTAGAGTTTACATTCTAAACACACCATTTAATTTGTTCCATTTTTGTTTTTTGGAAATTCAATTTAAAAAAACACACACTAAACTCTTCAAAACTTAACTCTCCTCTAACATAAAGCCTCACAGACCCTCCATCTATAATTAAAGTTGCTAAGCTGGGATTTGACAGTCGCTGTTTGGAAGAGGGAGTTAGCGAACAGTCAACTTCAACTCTTTTTATAGGCGTTTTCACAAATATCACAACACATTGTTTTTTAAACTCCATGAATACTTCTTCTTTTGTAAGTTTTTATGTACTGAATTAAAAAGAGCTGACAATAAGATATGTTCCAATACCAAAAATGGCTTTCACTGTTTTAAAGGGTGTTAGCTTATAAAGCTGTAGTTTATGGGGGTGATAATGTTATGTTTTATATGTTTTATATATATATCTATATATATATAGATATATATATTTTTTTTTTCTTTACAATGCTGGCATGAACGTTTTAAGAGCCCCACATATCAATTCCACTTTTTTGTGTACATTGTGTACCCAGCTCTGCGCGTGTCTCTATAATTGCATAAGTACATGTGTGCATACATTACAGAGCCTGTAACTAATTACAGTGTGAAGTAACTTACCCAGGCTGACAAGTGTGCGTGCCACCCACAGGACATCGGCCACCAGTGCCGGAAAGATCAGAGCACTGCTCAGGACGTTCCCATACTTCTGTTGGAAGGGGTCCATCATTGTAACATACTTGTTCTCTCTCATGGGCTTGGCAAAGAAAAAGCCACCTGGAGCCGGAGGGAAGAGATTACCATAAAATTAGCGTCTCTCTCTGGAAATGATGAAGCAATAAATTTTAAAAAACATGGCTGTATTTCTATCATTTGAAAACCCAAATGAGAAAGAAAGGAAGAAGAGGAAGAGAGTCACTGGGAGAGTGAAAGATCAGGTCCACGTGAACAATAAGAAAAACAAGTGTTCCCTTCAGATAACTCAATAAACACTTTCAGCTGAACTCATGGGTCCACTTGGCCAACAATGGACAAGAACAGAGGGGGGGTGTTATATTTCCTGATCAGGTACTTTGGGGTTTCCAGTTCCCATTATTCTTCCACCACGCAGGCCATTGTGACATTGGGGCCTGAGCGTTGATGATTTCACCTGTTGCAAATATTTACAGATGGATAAGTGTGTGTGTCAGTTTGGTCAATTCAGGAGCAGGCAATCTAAGGCCGTTTGAGCCTGTTGCCTCGAGTTACAATCCTGAACTGATTTCTCATGGTCCTATTTTTAACGTGAGCGACACATTTATTGGTGTGTGGAGCCAGGTGGGGGTTGGGTGTACGGGAGTGGTGTCAGTGGCCAACGACACAGAAGCTCCAGACGGAAGTTAGTTTATTTTGATATTAAGATGTGTGTAGAAGCTTTAGGAAACTTGTGCCTGTTGCTCAAACACTGAAAATTACATTGTTACTTAACTAGTGCCCAAGTGTCACCCCCAAATGTTAACAAAGACAATCTGACCTCACAATCTCTTAATTTAAAGATGGGAAAAAGATGAGACCACCAGAACAAACACCAGAGTCTGTATTTAAGTGCACAACGTTCACATCGTGTATTGTATCTATTTAAAACTTTAATCCTGCAATGCGTAGTGTTTTGTGGTGGGGGGCATTCAGGGTTTTAGGCTTGGGGGTCACTGGTGCCACTTACCTAAGAAGAAGGTCAAGACATACGGCACAGGCATGAGAGCCCACACTGCGCCTAGTGTTGGGTTGTACGTTGCCTCAGCTATACCGAGGATGAAGCCTCCACCCACCCACGTAGCTGCCGAGAGACAAACAAAAATATTAAAGGAGATAAATGACAGTCACACCACAGTTGCTTGTACATTCCAAGGATTTCTTGCGTACCAAACAGTCACTTCAGTTATCACTTGCAACTTTTTTTTCCCTCCAAACATAAATTATTTGAATATTTAACATACAAAACACACCAGAAAGACTCAAATAGATAAGCTAGTGTCTAAACTGAGCTCCCTCCGACTGCTTTACCAGTGAGAGTGAAGATGCCGACTAGCAAGTTGATGTTGCGTCCAGCCAGTAGTGTTATCTCCATGCCGTCTCCTGTGCACTTCTTCTCCTCCCTCTTGGAGCGCATGGATGCCCAGATGCCCGTACCCAAGATCAACAGGTAGAACACTGCCATTACCACCAGACCTGGCACATTGAGAGCCATCCTCAACTACTTATGTGTGCGTTTCCTGTTGGATAGAAACATAGAAAGAAAAAAACATGAAGATCGAAGTTGCTAAAAGCTAGAAAAGGTAATACAGAAATACAGGTTTGCAATGGTTGTGTAAATCACTACAACATACAGAACAAAATGCACAAACAAAGTCACATAACAGTGCATATTCTCATTTACTTTTTAAGACTGCAGGACAAGAGTTCAAGTCTGCACAAATTCAAATGTCATCTAAGAGGATTCTGACAAACAAAAAGGTACATTCATCATGTGCAGAAAGCTATTAAGCGCAAATAAACAATGAATAGAAAACAGTAGCATGTATTCAAATGACTGAAGAGAGTAAGGTGAGCCAGGTGAAAAAGAAAATATGTCGTCTTAAGGAAAGAAGGTGGATAAAGAAAAAAGGCTGCAGTGGAAAAAAAACCAAAAAGACAGGAGCAGCAGCATCTCGGATGACCTGGCTCTACTTGCTTGGCAGACGGGGTGATGGGGTGAGGAAAAGGAGGTGGAGTGGAGGAGGAGGAAAAAAAGAAGGCAGGGGAAGGGAGGGATGAAGAGTCAGAGAGGCGAAAGTGGTCTCACCATAGTACTTGGCAGCACTGAGAAAGATGGCGGACAGATGTTGTCCCCCGTCTTCAGTGGTTGGACGGCCCGAGTTTCGACCCCAAACATCGGGAAGTGAACACAACTCAGAGCTACATTAGTGCGTACATATGTGTGTGTATGTGTGTGCAGTTACTGTAACTGTGTATGGGACAGATGGTTTTCTAAAAAAAAAGGATTAAATATGAGAAAGCCTTTGCACCTATAAAAAAAAGTGTTAATGTTTTAACTGCTGGTTTGTACCTACTTGTACCCACTTGTCTGCACATTGACAAGACTGTATCAACTGTGTTAATGCAGTTCAGGAAAACTGAAGAACTCAACACAAGTTTGTTTTTATTTTTTTTCTTAAATATCACAGTGAGGCAGTTTCTTAGAAAACCTTCTTCTTTATTATAGACAGAAACTTATTTAGCATAAACACAGCCATCCCTTTCATGGTGAAAAACAAGACATGGCTCCCACCCAATGTAATGAAAAACACATCTGTTATACAGAAAGCTTTGGCTCGAATCATAAAACTTGGAACAAGAAAGAATGCATGTATATCCACTTGGGAGAATGGGGAAAGAAAAAAAAGGAAATGTTTGTGAAGGAGGAATGGACTGAAAAGTACGGGTAGTGGGCAAATGTATGTGTTTGTGTGTGTTTATGTGACGGCAAGGAAGGAGTGGGTGGGGGATTGGGGGAGTCAGCTCTGCGCCAAGGTCAACAAAAGCCCGAAAAGCTCACTCACGTGGCCCATGTGTTTTTCTGTGTTCTGTATGTATGTATTATGTATGTACGTGTATGTGTATACGTGTGTGTGTGTGTGTGTGTGTGTGTGTGTGTGTGTGTGTTTGCTCACTTGCGCAAACTTTTGCAGCCCCTTTGCAGCCCATTGCAGAGCTCAAACTGCATCTTTATGTTAGATTAGGAAGAAAACCAAGAACCGCACTCTGCTAATGGGACTGTGATGTATCAAGAAGGGGTGGTGGTATAGTAGTAGAAATACAGTCTTCATTTTAAGAAGCTATATATTTGACAGCTGTAGTTATGAGTTCTTTGCAGGAAAACGTACACATCAAATATGAGTACATAAAATATACTGCATTATCTGAGTTAATGTTACAGATATGAACATGTTGGCTTCAAAGCATGTTTATTTAAAAACAAAAAAACTTTCTCCTACAGCAGTATTATGAGCTGTAAAAATCTGATCCTTAGTTGGTCTGGCAGTGAATGCAACCTTTTCAAATTGCAAACCAAATCAAAATGCCCCACCAGTGCTCAGTCAAGAAATATCCGCTGCCAGACAGCAAGCAATACATTAACTGCAGTGTGTGATACACAACTGGTAGTGCACACACTTATTTTTTGGAGCTAGCCACCGCTAAAAAGAATCAACAGAATTAATGTTTTTAAGCTTTCCAAGAACTTGTAAAAATTTTTATAGGGCTTTATGCAATCTCAGGGGAGGCTGGAGTCGCTGTGGGCTGCTGGTATTTTGTAAGCTTGTAAAAGCAAAAGAACATTTGAGAAGGAATTGTGGGTACGACATGTTCCAGTCCAATGAACTTCTGAGACATTTATTCCTGTGATATTTGCCCGTCAGTAACTGGCAGATTCTCAAGTTACGGACAAGACATTTGTCATTTGTAAGTTTTGCTATTGCTGCATAGTCGATGTTAGCATTAACAGCTGTTTAGTTACCAGTCTAGAAAAAACGTTGCAAGTTCAGAAGAAAGGTAGTTAGTTCAGTCCTTTGCTTGCCAAGAGCTGTCTGCAGCAGAGGAAAGTAAACTTCTTATTTTGCTTCTATTTCTATCACTTCTTTTCCTTTAATGAAGTTAGCATGTTAATCAGCTAGCGCCAGCCCAGTTGGCTCGTCTTGTCGCTCTCCGATACCGAGTCACTGCAGTGTTGGGGCTGCCTTGAAGAAGTAGCGTTGATCAGTGGAGGTATTCTAAGCTCTTGTCTTGTAAATACAATGACAGCTAAAGCTCTTGGCAAGATTGGTAAGTAAACGGCTGTTAATGCTAGCATTACCTATGTAGCAACAGCAAAACATACAAAGAACTCCTTTAAAGCTGCAGTTAGCAATCTTTTATCCACTTCGGATAATTATCCACTTCCATCCATTTTTGCTAATGAATTAACAAACAATGTGTTAATAACATTGCTAACTAAACTTTAGCTTGCTAACTAAACTTTAGCTAGCTTCCTCTTTCACCAGCTAGTAGCTAACTTTGTCTGTCTGCTGTTTGGTGTTGGGCAGGTAGCATACAGTGGTTTCTGAGCTTTTTGGATTAATACAGCTGCCTGTTGCTGCTGGAAATGAGGCACATGAGAGCAGTGAAAATCAAACTTAGAGTAAGTGTGCTGAAAAGTGAAAACTATGAGATAAAATAGGCCAAAATGCTCTGCAGCACCACTGAGTTAAATGATAGCTCTGTGTTTCTTACTGCAAGCAGCCCATTTGACATTACCAGTGTACTGTATGTAGTCATTTGATTTATAGGTAAGATAAAAAGTTGATTAGTGGAGCTTTATAATTATATTAGTGAATTTCAGTTTGTATTTGCCTTTCTTCTTAATATGCTCTCCTATCATGCTACCATCCTACCATGCTAATCAGCTGTATTATCAGTTGTACATTTCAGTCATGCAGGATTTCCACAGTCTTGACTATTTTAGTGAGCCCACACTCCTCTTTGTAACAGTATGCAAGATATTTCACAGAGTAGAGAGAGGTCTGGAGTCCCTCTATATGGATAAGCATGCCCATTGACCTAATTTGGAGGTGAAAAAAAGTCCTCTTATATGTATCCCTCCCTCTCTGCACACAAAAACACACTCTTTCCTTGCGCTCCTCTTTCAGCGTGAGGAATGTGATGTCCATTAGGACCTGGCCAGTGTTTGTGGATCACGTGCCTTTCCTCAAATGAGGCTGGATGTACTCGTTACCGACTGTGGCATACACATTGTTTCAGCCATTTCAACTGATTCACTCACACATTCATGTTGCCATACATTAATGCTCTGTATTTTTTTGTAGTTATTGAAGCCAAGTTAATATTCAACTCATGAATATTGTAGGCAACAAACTCTCACTGCAGTGGAGCAGAGATAAAGTCTGTAAAACCTGAAGGGTTTTCCTTTTAAAAGACTCCAAACAGGTTGAAGATTGAGATATCAGAAAATCTATGTATCAGACATGAATCATTTCCTGCAAGGTGGACAAAAAATGCCAGCAAATACACACGTTTTCAATAAATATTTTGTGATGATTCAATCAAGCAAATTACATGCTTTCCTATGACCTAGATTGAGATTTTTCACATTTACTTCTGCTGAAATCTTCTCTAACACGATGAAAATGCTACTCAATACGTAAACTAAATCAACCTCTGCAATTAGTAACTTCTAAATCTCTACAAATAATATAAAAGCTACACTTCTAATATGTCTAAAAATATATAGATGACTTTGTACTTCATTGAGAATCAACTTTACAAGTCAGTGCTCACTTTGCCTCTGATTTTGGTACTGGCAACTGTGACTACTTGGAAAAACAGCTATAGACTTATCCAAAATCAGCTGAGCAGCATAAAATCTACTGGTGGCACCATAATCAGTAAGCAAAAAGGAGAAAACAGAGGATAAAGGCGTAACCCAAGGAGCTAGAAGCCAGAAGCCAACTTCATGCTAAATGTTGAGCAATTCACTTTAATTCCTGAGGTGAAATATGCCTCCATCAGTGTTTGGGAAACCGTGAATAAGAACGTCATTAATTTATATCAATAGCACATAGACATACGGTAACCACACACCAGCGAGGACAGAGGTATGAAGAAACTAAGGTTTTGCTTTTCACTCTTCAAGTGACAAACATTTCCCCACCTTCTTGAGGAAGACTGTGAGTGGCCGGGAGCTCTCTCACAAGCAGCACTCCTGTGAGATGTTTGTGTGTGTGTGTGTGTGTGTGTGTGTGTATGTGTGTGTGTGTCTAATAACACTAAGAAGTGCTATATTTTAATGCATCAACGTCAGGTCATTTTTTCTGTATAGTTGCTTCTGCAATTGGCTTACCTGCCACCTAGTAACTTTCCATAGCTCTTCTTACATGACTCACGCATGAACACAATACAGGCACTTTAAGAGAACACACAAGAGGGTAGGGCAAATCTTCCGTATATACCTGCACAATTCTTTTGAATTTGTGCCATGTCACATTTTTCTTTTTTTGTGGTGAAAAAAATAAATAAATAAAAATTCCCCAAGAGAAAAATCTGTCAACATGCAAACCACAAACAAGGTACAAAAGAAAAAAATCTCATTCATAAGAAAGTTGCTCAAAGCCCCCAAAGTTTTCAACTTTCATTCATGCAAGGAAATACAGCAAAAAGCTTTTAAAAATTAACAGCACGCGAGTAAAATAACTGAAAAGAAAAGGAACTGAAAAAGAGCTACTATAATAAATAAGAAGAGAAGAATTCTATAATCATGTCTAATGTTGAAAGCAATCAATTAAACAATTAATGCAGGTGCCACGACAACACTAATCCTTGTTTAGATTCTTGGCCTAAACCAGGCTCAAACTACAGGAGTTTTAAAATCCTAACCAATTTTCAAATTGGGTCACATCACAGACACAAGGAGAAACTCCAGATGTTCCTCTAATCTCAAACACGCACACTACAAGATTTTAAAATAATGTTGCATCAAACACCACAGGATATTATTAAGATTATCGTACCAGGGGGAGCAATTCACCTCCTTACCTGATCTCAAGGGGAAGCAGATCTAAACAAAATGGAGATTCGTGGTGCAACAAACCCAATTACCCAAGGTCCAGGACTAGATTCCTCCTCCAATTGTTAGGAGAGAAGTCTGGGTTAAAGCAGCCCAAAACTCCTGTAGTCTGAGCCTGAAATATTAGTATTAATGGTTATTTCATCATTCTAGAAATATCTTTGGTGCACCCAGCTATACAGTTGACAATATATTCCTAGCATATAGTGCTGTACATTGATTAGCCATACGAAACATTTGCCAGCAGCCAGACAGAAGCATCAGCAAGCAAACCTGGCAGAGCTGCTCCATGCATTAAAAAAAGAGTTCCTGTTTCTATTTAAGTGGGATTTTGGTTTATTATCAAGTCTTTCATGTGTGACTATAAGTAAAAATTTGCATTTGAACTTCTGTTTTGCTCAAGCTGGGGATTCACTGTCACAGTTTCAAACTCACGATTGTCTCTTCACTGTTCCTCATTCAATTGACAGTCAGAAACAATTATTGTAAACCACCAAAATCCTTTGTTGAGAAAAGGTTTAGATTTTAGATCGTATTGGTTTATAAGGTAAACACAATGCAACTCTAAAGTCACCATTCTGAACATTCACTTCTTTTACAGTGCATCAACTCTGGAATAAATCTAGTGTTGACAGATATGCTGAGGCTTTGACACCACCTAATGACATTTGAGGGCATTGTTCGGCTGAGAGAAAGCAGTCACAGGATTGATTGGCCCTGTCCTGACAGTGTCTATGGGCATGACTGCTCTCTCTGTCTAAAAATTCCATGTGGTATTCACTTTCACACAGGTGCATTAGTGTGTCTTGGCATGGGTGCAGCTACAACGCTCTTTCTACGAACACCTCCTCCTCCATCCCCCACCCACAGATCTCCTCATCTCCCTGCCTCTCAGTACTTTTCCGTTCCGACCGACTCCTCTGCCAACTGCATGTTTGCTGCCTGCCTCCATCTCCACCCCCTGCAGTTTTGTGATTTGAAGAGAGTGTTCACAGACAATATCATCTCCAGTGGTAAGTAGCACTAAACTGAGTGTAACTGGTAACTTTCACAACAAGTCTGCATGTGTCTGCGCACATGCAGTCACATTCACACATGCTATAAGACTTCAGGTTGATGCAGAGCACCACTGAAATGTGACCTACAGTCCAGACACAAGCTTGTTGTCTTTTACAGCAAGAGAGGAAGAAATGTGAGGACCAACAAAGAGATAGAGCTCATGAAAAAACAGTCTGTTTCCTCTTGTCTCCTTTGTTGACACCCCTCTCTTCAGTCTTAACATGGACAATTTAACTTTTATGTGCTGCAACACTTAAGAGATTACTCATCTGGAACAGCTCCAACCTTGATCTGTAGGAAATCATCCATCCAGACTAATACGCTGAACAAGAACCAAGACACAGAAGAGACAGCAGTCCGTTATTTACCGCCTCTCTGTTGTTTTCGAATATCTAACAAAGTATTATGGAACTTAAGGTGCTATATGTAAGTATTTTAGTTTAAAACATTCAAAAATCAACTAAAATTATACAGACTGCAAGAAATAAAAGTTTTAACGTTATGTCAAAGACATCTGTGTATTGTGTTGCTACTGAAGTTAGCACTCAAAGCCTCCTGTAATACCACTTTGTACCTCAAGAGGCAATAGTGAGTCACTGTAGCGTCCAGTCTGCCTGCAGTCATAGAAACTAATAAAAATAGAAGCAAAACATGAGTTAACATTGACGTTTTCCACAGCTGGAGGTAGCTCTTGGCAAAGTTTGATGCTGAACTCACATTTCTTCTAGAGTGGTAAGTAAACAGCTGTTAATACTAACGCTGGCTATGTAGCGATAGAAAATACTTACACATAGCACCTTTAAGATGTTGTTACCACACCTACATTCTCTTAACTTGTTTTACCTTTCTTTATATTTTTTCCTCTTACTATATTTATCGTTATGCAGCAAAACACCAAAACAAATTCCTCGTATGTGAAACCCTACTTGGCAATAAACCTGAATCTGAATAATTAAAACTTAAAACCCAGATGTTACGTTACAGAGAAGTTGAGTTGTGAAGACACAATTACATCTTGATTTCATTTCTGCTTGAAAGGTCAAAGGAGTGGATAGAAACACAGAAAAGCACCTTGAAATGAAGATGGGCTTTCACTATCTGTTGCAAGTTACTTTTTCACTCACAGGACACAGATGATTGCGTCAGAGCTTAAGTGGGCAACTAAAGTTTCTACATCCAAGGCCAATCATTTGAACACAAATTGAAGCGAATCTCTTATTCTTAGAGGGAAGCTGCTCAGTTTGATAGTTCACCCAAAGCGCTGTCAGGGTGAGGTTGGGCAAGTTTGCCCTCAGGGATGATGACTTTGATTAAGAGAGAGACGGAAACGATGTGAATGATAAGAAGCTGAGAGGAGGAAACATTGCAAAAGTGTTTAGTCCACGTGGTGAGAACAGGAAATACCAATCAAAAGAAGAAGTCATTGCTTAGAACTTGTAAATCATAAATTTTAAAAACTTTGCATCTACAGTGACATACATGTAAAACTCCTCTGGGGATATATCATTCAAAATAAATGACAATCTCTCTCTGACAACAAGCCTCAGCATAAACAGATTTTTCATTACAAATTTTCAACACAGCATTTCTTCAAAACAAGATTTATATCATTAAAATTCAGCTGAGTCCAAAAGTCTGAGACCAGAAAAAGTGGTCTCAAAACATTTGGACACCACTGTATATTTTCATTAGTCTAAATCAGTAATGTCTTGAACTGCAGTCTGTGTCCGCCCCTGTAGCTTCTCTATTCTTAGACCAAGTGCGGTGGAAAATTACAGCTTATCAAAACAATACAGAAAAAACAAAGATAGCCAGTTGTAGTCAAAGAAGTCAAACCACAAGAGCCAATTTGTCTCTGCAGCAGTTCCCCTGAGTGCTATTTCTAGGACAGGCACGCTCTCCCACTTAGTGTGTCCCAACTTGACTGAGCTTAAATAGCTTTCTCAAAGAAAAACACACACATACTGTACATGCACACAAAACTGAAAAAAAAACAAACCCTACTTACTTTAAGCAAAAAACATGTCCACAAAGTCAAAAACATGTACATAAAGTAAACATAATGTCAACAAAGAAATGAAAAACTGAGCACAGGCGACGTATGTTAGCATATTTGATGATTGAATACATACCTAGGGTTAACAGTACGTGTCAGTTCTTAGAGATGATGTGAAGAGGGAACAGAAGCTATTCTCACAAGACAGAGAACAGGCCAGGTGATAAATTCAGTCCAGGAGGAGAAAGGTTCATGCGACACTCATCCAAAGTGTTGGAGAGTGAGAGATGAGGGCAGCACAAAGGAAATCAACAGGTGCTCTTCAATCTCTTGAACTCAAAGAGGGTTGAAACGAGGCAACAAAAAAAAAGTCTATTTCAAAAATGTTTTTAAAAGAGTTTTTTTTTAACAAAGTGCTCTGCAGGGAAGAGGGAGTGAAGTCAGAGTTGATGTTCAGAGTTCATGAGGCAGGTTCAATGAGGAAGGATGGAACTCTCTAGAATCAGCATGCAGCCTTCCCCTGGTTTTAAACCTCACGGGGTGGGAGGGGTCAGACAGGATACAAAGGAGAAGGAAGCCGTCACTACTTCCACCTGATTGGTGACTGCATTGGTGCCCCTGTCTGCAGCCAATTAGCTATGTTGAGAGTGCTGGGCGGACCCAGCCCCTGTTTAGCTTTGGTCCACATGAGGATGACTTTCATTGCAGGGTGGAACTGGCACCTCGAGCTGCTCATGATCAGCTCATTAACAACAGCCCCTTTTCTCTATCCAGCTCTGCCTCTCTCTACTCAAACACCTCTTGCTTTTAATCTCCCATTCTTTCACCCTTTTTTTTCTGTAGTAAACTTTCCTATCCACTGTCGTCAGACTCTGTCCTTTGCGCAGACTTCCCTCTAGACATGACATATCAGACATGAGTCACTGAGCCTCCCTATCTCTCACCTATCTGCTGTGTTTCACAGCGACTGCACAGCCAGCGTGACAGATGCCAGCCACCAGGATCCTCACACACCCACAATACTTTGAGAAAAACATCTCCTTCTCCAAGCTGCCCCTGTTTTGTTTTTTTTTTCTAGTTTTATTGCTGTGTGCTCATGTGTGAGTGTGGCTGCACACAAGTGAAACTTTGCCGAGGACTTGCACAAAGCGTTGCTTGTTCTGTCCATATGGTTTAGTGTATCAAGCGTTTAGTAAATCACATGGGAAGAGTCAGACAGAAAGAAACAGCCATGAGAGTTGGTTAAATATAGACAGCAAAATAAAAGTGCTCTGCTCATATATGCAGAGGAGCAATATATATCAATATAAAAGGATATAATTTTGAACATAAGTGTATTTTATATGCACAGAATGTGCATGTTGTTGCAAAGGGGTTTTTGTATGGTCCAGGTGAAGCCAAATGACAGCTATTTGTAACACATTACCTCAAAGCCAAATATTTTCAGACAGTTTTCACATATTCTCATACTGGTGAGGAAAGACGAAACCATTCTACAAACCTGATGTGTGAATTCTTTCCTTGTTCTACATAACAGGGAAGCAGGGAAGCAATATTCTCATGCATTCAGCGGCCAGCCTTTACAATAAACAAAGACAACGTGTACGAAACACCGTAACATATAGAAATAGTTGTCAAAAAACCACCATCCTGTATTTTACAGGCAGTGAAAAGAGAAAAGAAAAAAAACTCCTGTCCAGCTCTTCTTCACTGAGGAAAAACCAACCATCAACCTCATCTCCAACCACTCTCATCTTCCCTCAGTTACAAACATTAAGCAACTTGATCCAAAGTTTCTCTCCCTCAGCTTGAATCGCCACAGAGACCAGCTGTGCAGAGGTGAAGCAACACTGTCCCTTTAAGAGTCCTGTTTCAGAGCATGTGTGCGTGTGCTTGTGTGTGTGTGTGTGTGTGTGTGTGTGTGTAAAATGCTCATGCTATATGACTACCCAGTCCCCTTCTAAGATGACTTGCAAGTTCTGAAGTTTTAATTTGCTTAGCTTGCTCTCTGCACGTCTCTCTACCTGTTAGTTTATCACTTTGCATGTATTTCTTTACACATCTCCAGGCCCTCCTCTCTCTCTCTCTCTCTCTCTCTTCCCTCACACTGACTAGCAGACAGGACTGGTTCCCAATGAGTTCCAGATGGGTTCCACTATTCCCTGTCAAAATAAAAATGTTGGCAGGGTCTTGTCGCCATCTCTCTGCTCTAGACCCTGTAACTGTGTCTGCAACTATAATCCTAGCTGTAGGGGAAAATTTCCCTCAGTGGGTGAAGTGGGTGCAATTCATTCAGTACCTGAAGGTATATGAGGTATTTTTACGACCATTACTTTTATTACTATGTAGTAATAATAATAATAGGTAATCATGATTACAAATGATCTGTTTAAAAGATAATCATTATTACTATTACAGGCCATTCACACATACAGACAGGCTAGTACTGATTGTGAATGGGACACATAAGGGGATTAAAAAGGAGTAAGTTGAGAAAAGCTCAACTCTATGCAAATATCCTCTGATACAATGCAAGCGACACCAAGGCGAAAGCCAATCACATCCCTTTTTAATCCTCAGAAACAGAAGTACAAAGTTGTTGATGAGCTACCCCACCCTACAGGACAAATGGGGACCACTTCAAGCCTGTGACAATACAGGAAGACAAACTAATGATAACATAAATACAAGTGTAAAACTATGTGTAAATAAAAGTATAAAAATATTGACCATAAGAGATACTAAGTCTGATATTTTGTAATGGCCTTTTAAGAAAGACAATTTAAATGAGAATATGTCAATTCACAAAATATTTGAAAACATAACAGTCCATCAAGCCTCAAGAGTCAATACTTACTCGTGCATCTCGAGTCATGGTACCAGCTGAGAGAAAGAATTCTTTCTTGAATCATTCTCTAATAACGTTCTGTTAGTGGCCAGTGGTCACTCATTCACATTTACATTTAAAATTTGGTTTTGTCCAAAGTTTTCAGTTTTCTGAAGAGACAATGTTTTCATGTTTTGAGCATGACAAGAATGAAACAACTGCAGATGGGGTATCGCCCCTTCTGCATTGAGTTTGTTAAACAGTTCACTCCTGGAGTCCGCTCCATAATCAGTCCTTGCCATTTCAACCAACTGAGCCCCAGCTGACTGAATGAGCTGCTGCCTGATATTTCAATCCAACCAACACTGCTTGAAAGGCACACACACAGCCGCGGACCAACTCCCCTACTCTATATCTGCTTTGGTCTCTCACAAAATGATCATAGAGTATTTGCTCAATTCTGGCCAATATTCATCTTAATGTTCAGTTTGGTTAAGAAGGGTTACCTTAATACCTTAATCCTAATCATCAGAGGTGTTACTAGGATGTCATTTTTGGGTGGGCATTTGGATTATTTGGGTGGGCAACAACAAAAATGTTGCTTTTATTAACTTTTCCTTGTATGATGAACTAGGATAGTTCTGTCTTGGATAGAACGATGTCTAGGCCCACTATGATTAGCAGAAGGTTGCCACCTTTCATGCAGAAAAATAAAGGACGCCCCCTCCTGCAGCAATATTGACCCTTCAGTCTCATGTCCTTTTAAGGGCATTTTCGGGCGTTCACCTATGCTAATTATGGCCAACTGGCACACACTTTCAATTTACGAGGAGATTGGCATTCATCAATCTAAGAACACAGATGCGCACAATCCTGCAGTTTAAGAACACATCTGACGTAGAGTTTTATTAAGAACTTTCTTAAAAACAACTTAAGAAAGAATTTAAGAAAATACTTATGAAGATATTGGTGAATGAGGCCCAATGTTTTTAGAAATAAGCGATATGTAGATAGCTTTTAAGTTAGAAACTCCAAAATAAATTCTACTTCAGTCAATGTTGACAAATGAACTTATCTTTTTGTCACAAGTCAAAAGGCTTCTCTAGTGGTCATTTTGTCATAGCTGAGTACAATAAGCCAACATCAGAGTGTGACAGAGAGACCATGAAAAAAAATGCCCACCCCAGCCCACCCGTAGACACGCCCTTGCTAATTATACTGACAATAACCAACAAATGATAATAAGTTCAAATCTGGTGACTCAGGTGTGTTGACTACTTGTCCAAGGGACACAAAGAAGGATGAAAGAATATCCCACTATGAGGAGTAAAACATGTCCCCAGTTCTGTGTTCATGGAGCCCTGTTATTTCTTTACAGTTGAAAAAAAAACTCAATTCAGAAGCAATGACTTTATCAGTCCATTATACTTCTGAACTGTACAAAACACGGAAGCAAAATTTGGATCGACAAGCGGATGATCATGGGAGGCATCAGTGGCACCGAATTCACTCTGGCTTGTCCTTGGGCAATAACACTCTGCACATGAGTTCGAATTAAGCCAGAGGTGGGTGTATGATAAGAACAGTCATCATACAACCTCCTCTGTGGGTGTATGATGACCTATATTTCCACATCATGGTAGAAAAAAAGCAAGACTTTATTTAATGATATTATCATGTAAGTGGGGGTAAACATATTATTTCTTCAGATGCCAAATAAACTGCCTTGAATGGGCGCGTGTTCAGAAAGCAGGAATGATGGCAACAGTCCATCTGGGTGTGCTTGAGAGCCTCTACAGTTCCAGCATGCACAAGTTTTGCAAGACTGCCTGTGAGGGAGTGAGGGACACACTGGAGAGGAAAACAAGTTCACTCTGTGTCCCTCTGTTCTGTGTACTGCAGCATTTGGTTTCTAGCTGCTGGGAAGCTGCTGCACGTACCACTCGCATTTCAATTTCATTTCAGTCTGTAGATCATCATTACATCATTTATCATGCTTTGTTTTTATTGCACACATAACAGGAAGCTACCAGAAAAATAAGACAGGTACTTAAATGCTATAGAATCCTAGTTTTTAGAGAAATGCTCAGCCAGCATGTTCAGATTTATCTGCATTTCTGAAACCAGGATATCAGGTTTACAAGGTGGGAACACAGTTACAGTACTAAGGCCTTTCTTATAACATACATGTTTAAATGTTAGGTGACAATGACAGGTGTAACCAGTAACCTGTTTGTGGTGAAATAAACTTGTTGTAGTTCAATTGCACGATATATAAAATGCCTTGGATAGGTGGATGTCAAAAAAAGGACTGGTGGCTCTTTTCCTTCACGGTATTCCAGAGGGAAATACCAGTGAGACAGCATGTACTATAGCAGGGCCTTGGCATAGCCACTCCAACACAAATTCAGCTATTATACATCTGTATTTGAATTAGGGTTAGGTAATGTTTGAATTTTTACGAGTTATTATTATTCTTTTAAGCATTAATTGAACATTCACAAAGTAAATAGTATTTACTGTTTGGTAGTATTTATTTACTATAATAAAAATGTATGATCCGCAGCTTTAAAAAATATATTAAATAATACACAAAGATCAATCTAGAGCAGTTAGAGTTCTGGGGCTACATTACAGATACTACATTTTTAAAT